ATGTGGAGGGACCGGCAGTGCGAGGCTCATGAATCTAGAGGCCTGAGGTCAGAGAGAGGGACAGCTGAGCCACCCCTGGAATGACACTCGCGGTGGGGGCTCCCTTCCCTGACGAGGAGGTGAACATGAGATATATTTCAGCAACCCCCATCCCCACGTTCCTCCACCTTCTCAAGCAGGGCTGATGCAGGGACAGTGGGGACAGATCCAAACCATGCCACCCTCCCTCCCTCTCTCCGGCTCACCCCTCAGCCCTCTGCCTCCCAAAGGGTGAACTGGAAAGGACAGCACTTTGTAGTGTCTTCCCTCCAGCCCCTCCTCACCAGCCCCACTCTGGGATCAATACCTAATGCTGAATTTAAGATCTTATCTGAGTTTTGCAAGGATAAAACAACAAACTTTCCCCCAGTGATTAAATCCTTTGATGATCAGCCCAATATTTTTCAGACCACCTCTAACAGCTTTTAGAGAGCAAATGAAATGACTCTGAGAAAATTGGAAAGACACCTTCTTTCTCTCCCCTTGGGCACAAAGAATCTCATGGAAGGCCCCAGCTTTTATCAGCCGCTCAGCTCCTACCTGGCTGCAGGAACCTGCTAAGTGGCCATCCAAATCTCTACATGCCTTGGTTTCTCCATCTCAAATGGAGGTGCATCATAGTCCAGCAAGAAGGGTAGGCGGAGAAGCACCAATAACAAGGAGGTGCTCAAGAGTTAAAATCACCAAATCCCCTGCTTTAAACCACTGCCTTGCAAGTGTGCTTGCAGAGGAGCTGAGAACAAGGGCTCTGGGTCAAACAGGCTGGGTTTACATTCAACTAGGGATTCTGGGCAGCTGGGTTCACCTCTGACCTTCATAAAGATTCAACAGTACGTGTAGGCGCTGTGCTAAGCACGGGGTATAGAACTGCTCAGGAAGCACTGGCTGTTTCTACCAAGAATGTTAACATGGCCTGGGTAACACAGAATCCACTGTACCAACCACAGATCCCCAGATCCCCCCCTTCAGGATCTGCTGGGAGTGCTCTTGGAAGATGGCCCCCAACTGTCTGTTCCCTCCAGGATGTCCTCAGGGCAAGTCCAAGGTCACAGGTGCTTCCCAGGGTGGGCCGCATCCTGTGACAGATCAACATCAGGTGTAAGGTCAGCCCTTCCACCCCGCTGGGGCCAGCCCTAGCTTCAGAATTCCCAGGGCCTCACAGATCAGTTTCTCCCTCTGCCCGCTGCCCCCTGAGGGCACCCCTGTGTGCTCATCTTCATCTCAGGGGACCCAAAGACAACCCCTCACCTCCCTCTCCTAGCTAAAAAAATAAAAATGAAAAAGGACTTAATCTTGGACACTCTCTCAGTTAAAAGGCTAAAAGCCAGAAACATACTTCAGGTCCTGGAGCTCATCAACCCCAGCTCCCCCATTTTGCAGAGAACGAACCTGAGGTGTCAGAAAGGGTTAGGAAATGTGCCCCAGTCAGGTATCAAGGAGACAGCAGGAGCTTAGAGGTCTGCTCTAAGCGGAGAGGGGGAAGACTCCACACCTCTGTGTGGGTCCCATTCTGAATGACCTTCTTCTTGCTTCCACGGGGGAGGACATATATCCTGGAAGGGCTCATTGTCTCCTGTTCCCCTGGATTCTTTCCCAGGGCGTGAGTGAGGTCCAAGTACAGATGTAAGAGGGAAAGAAATACAGGCTGTCGTTTCTGGGAACAGATGTAACTGAGGGCCACGCTGTCCCTATGGGACTAACGGGGGGCCAGGGGCAGGGCGTAGCCACTGTGGGGCGAGGAGTGGATGCTCAGCCCTGACCTCTGGCTCACGGTGGCTAGAGAAATCGGAGTGGTCCCGTGAGCCCCGCGGACACGACTTCCCGAATCCCAGGCCCAACCGTGCAGTGTTCCCGGATGACAGCTGTCCCAGCTCCAAGGGCACACAGGTGGTTTTCATAAGGCCCGGCGCTAGGCTGCCTGACGGGGTTGTGCTGGGAGTTAGGTGCGTGGGTGCTGGGCAAGCACCGTGGCGGCACACGGGGTTAATGGTGTGCACCTCTTTAAGAAGAAAGCTGGTGGTTCTGCCAGCCCGAGAGGTGTCTTGAACTTCTGCTACTGCAGTACTTTCTTCTTGATAAGATAATGGGAAACGGGAAGCTTGAGGAGGTGAAGGTAAGGTTGGGGCAAGGTGGCTGCCGGGAGGATTTTCTTTTCTTGTGCTTATCACCTGATTCCAAATGCACATTCCATCAGGCCAGGGATGGGGGACCCACTGTTCCATATGGAGGATATGTGCTTCTGTGGTGACACGGTTTTGTTTTTTTTTTTAAATTCTTTCCCCTCCTAAATGCTCTGAACCACTTAAGCATTACCCCAGCATTAGCATCCAGTTCAAACAGAAACTCTCAGCTACTCAGAGGGGCTGGAAAATGGGGGGGTGGGGTGGGGCAAAGCTCCCACCTACACAGAAAGAACACCAGGGAGCAGGTTTCTGTACAGGAGGGAAGGGGAAGGAGGACGTCAGGGCCTCCTTGTTGAAACTTCCTGGCACACTTTCCCTCCTGCCTTCTCTCCCCACACCCCCCGGGCTACACCCACTCAGGCCAGCTCGGCGGGTGGGCAGCCTGCACGGCAGCCCTGGCCCCACGCTCAGAAGGGCTCCACTCTGAGTTCAATGCTCTGCTGTCACCTTGAAATTCTTAATGATTTTTTACTAAGAGGCCCCATTTTTCCCCTTGTTCAGGCTCCACGAATTATTCAAGTCCTACATCCGGGACAGGAATCTTATCCTCTGGCAGGGCAGGAGGGTGCTTGGGCATGCACCCGGGGCTGTGCCCGGCCTCCTTCCTGCCAGTGCCCCCCAGAAGTCCTGACTCGGGCAAGCGAGCAGTGCCATCCTTGGAACCACTCTGAGCTCAGGGCCGTAAAAGGGACCTCCCTCCACCTCACCAGAGGAGTCACAGAAGGATGCTGCCCAGCACCACACCCAGCGCCCTGGAGAAAGGGAAGGGAAGAGGCACCACCCATAGCAGGAAGCCTTTGGGTTAGAAATCAGGGAGAACCTTCCCTGGCCCCCCCTCTGGGGCTATGCCCGGAGGGCCCAACGCCCTCAGTGTGAACCTGCCTCTGTCTGTTACTAGTTGAATAACGTGACACGGAAAGTCACCGGCCCTCTCAGGCCCCCCAGATGACATGCCTCCTTCTAGGCAGGGCTGTGAGGGCTGCACGAGATGATTTTTCATCCCCTCCAATACAGGGCCTGATCTGGAGCAGATCAGAAATCCCTTTATTGGTGGATATTCAAAAAAAGAGTGATAAGGCTACACTGCCTAGAAGCCACTCAGGACTCTTCCAGGAGCATGAATTCTAGCACGGAACACCAATGCCACACTCAGATGGGCCTCGCCCACCCTGAAAACAAATGGATGAGAACGCTCTTCTTAACAAGCCCGTCCCCATGTGAAGACCACAGAGAAGGAGCAGAATTTGAAATCAGCAGTCCTAGGGATGAGCCCCTGCTCTGACCTGGGGTGTGTCCCTTACCCCCTCTGAGCTTCCGTCACCTCAGATGATGACAGTGAAAACAATAATGATAAGAGCTAAACTAGGCACTATTGATATGTGCAGCACTAGACTCTCCAAACAACCCTACAGGGAAGTACTCCTTTATCCCCATTTCACAGATGAATAAACTGAGACCAACAAGATAAACAAGTTAAGTGATTCTCCCGAAGTCACAGGGCTGCTGTGAAGATCAGATCAGATCATGCACAGGAAAGCAGTGCTCGGACACCCCCCCCCCCCACACCCTGTAAGGATGATGGCAGAGAATAATCACGAACTGCCCCTCTCCGCACCCTGTTCCCCTCCCGCTCTCGGCTCTCAGGATGCTGAGCAACGCAGAGGACAAAGCACTCATTCCACACCCATAAGCTCTTCTTTTCTTCCCTCTCCTTCCCCTTCTCCTCACCCTCCACCCCTCTCCCCATCCCTTCCCAACATATCCCAACATCGATGCCCCAGTTTTCCACCCTCCCCTCTGAGGATGCTGTGGATGGACACCCGGACTGCCAGGCACACTCAGGACAGCCCCTCCCCCCCTGCCTCCCCCTCCCGACCCTCTTCCTCCCTTTCACTCAGGCTGCCTGCTCCCAACAGGAGAGGCATAGAGGCAATGCTTCTAATCACAGGTGACAGCAAGAATGTAAACAACACAAGAAACATCTAAATGCAATCCAAGTGGCAAGGAAACACCGCTCCCTCTGGCTCCTCTCAAGAATGCTGCTTCCTGCCACCTCCCTTCCGAATCGCGGCTCCTTAGTGCCCCATTCATAGGAGCCCCAGAAACCAGGAGCTTCCGGAGAACAGGAGATGGAACGCCAAGCCATAACCTTGGACTCTACTTCCTCTGGGAGGATTTTCTAGATTCGTCCAATTTTTTGCTTAAAGCAATAATTTCAACATGTTCCTTTCTTGGGGAGGCGAGGTATGGAGGTCAGAAACCCCTCTGACAATCTGTTCAAAGCTAGGAATATCTCCCAAGAAAACGCAAACATCAAACATCACAGACCCCCAAGTTGAGACCTATTTTCTAAAACACGGATAGGACAGGAAGAGCACAGGAGAAAAAATGAGTAAGTGCGGAGCCCTCTGAACATTCCAGACATGCAAACGGGCGCTGCCACGTCTGCAATCCCCGTACACGTCGAATAAACCTACAAGAGGGTATTTTTTTTCTTTTCTGACTTGTGTACTTCTAAACCACCTCCTTCAATGCAAATTGAAAGCTCAGCTGAGTAATTGCTATGAATAATTTTCACTTGGATCCCTTAGTGCTCAGGTCTAGCAAAGACGAAGAAAGCCAGGATCAGAAAGGGATATCAGAACACGAGTTGGGTGTGGCTGATTTTTAACTGTCCAGGATCTGGACTCTTTGTGCTATGGTGGCCCTCATGAATACAGATGTTCAACAGCTGGGCAACTAACAGAAGGGGCAAACTTTTTCGGCTGAGTATCTTACCTCTGTGCCTGTTGGTTGTCTTATCAAACATCAGCATTGCGTCCTCCACCTGCAAAACAAACAGAAGGGAGTCTGCTTTAGGAATTTTGACAAAACATACGAAACGCTATATGCTGCTGGGGGAGGGTGGTTTCCACCCTCAAAGTCATAGGTGCTCATTAAAATTTATTTGAAAACACAAAAAATTAGAAAGAAAAATCACTGTCTTTCCATCTTCCCGCCCAGAACAACCACAGTTAACATCTGATGTATTTCGCTTTAGGAAACATACACTGTATACCTATTTTAATACAGTTTAAATCATACGGTAATGGAATTTTCCCCTTGTTCTTTTTTTATATAATATTACAATATTGCAAATAATTCCCAGATGAGTACATCGTGAATATTATCTGGTTTTCTTCCCAATTTTTTTTATTATGGTAAAATACACATAACATAAAAATTTCCATCTTCACCATTCTTAAGTGTAGAGTTCAGTGGTACTGAGTACATTCATAATGTTGAACCACAATCCCCACCCATCCATGTCTGGAACTCTTTTAATCTCATAAAACTGACACTCTACCCCATCAAATAATAACCCCACCCATCCCCTTCGTCCCCCCAGCCCCTGGCAACCACTATCCTATCTGCTGTCTTTATGACTGTGACTGAGGTCCCCCCATCTCCGGGGCAGACATTCCAAGACCCCCAGTGGTTGCCTGAAACTTCGGATAGTACTCAACCCAGTAAATACCATGTTTCTTCTTGGACATACATACCTATGATAAAGTTTAATTTATACATTAGGCACGGTTGAAGATTTAGCAATAGTAACAAATAATAAAATAGAACAATTACAACAATATACTATAATACAAGTTATGTGACTGTGGTCTTTCTCTCTCAAAATATCTCATTGTAAAGTTACTGACAAAGAGAGATGATAAGATGCCTACATGATGAGAGGAAATGAGGTGAATGACGTAGGCAAGTGACATAGCCTTCGGCTGCTACGGATCATCTGATAATCCATCAGAAGGAAGATCACCTGCATTAGGACCACGGTTGACCGCAGGTAACTGAAGCCATGAATAAGGGGGGACTATGGTATTTCATATAAATAGACTCACACAGTATTTGTCTTTTTGTGACTGGCTTATTCCGTTTATCATAATGTCCTCAAGATTCATCCATATTCCGCTGCACGTATATACCACATTTTGCTTATTCATTGATCCATCGACGGATACTCGGTTTTAGCTATTGTGAATAAACACGAATGTACACATATCTCCTTGTGTCCCTGTTTTCATTTTTTTGTGTGTGTGTATACACCCAGAAATGAAATTGCTAGGTCATATGGTAACTTTCCTTTTAATTTTTGGAGGAACTGCCATCCTGTTTTCCACAGTGGCTGTACCATTTTACATTCCCACCAAGAGTGCACAAAGGTTCCAATTTTTCCACATCCTGGCCAACACTTGTTATTTTCTGGAATTTTTTTTATAGTAGTTATCCTAATGGGTGTGAGCTATTGTGAATTCTATCTTGACTGCAGCATAATACTTCACAGAGTGAGAAACCATTGCTTACTCAGTTATCCTTCTGTGGATATTTAAACTTTTTCCAGTTATACACAATGGAAATTTAATGCCTTGATTGCTCTGGGCTGAACTGTGCCCCCCTCCAAACTTGGATGTTGGAATCTTAACCCCCAGTATCTGAGAATGTGATTGTATTTGGAGATAGGGTCTTTAAAGAGGTTATTGAGTTAAAATGAGGTCATTAGAGTGGGCCCTGATCCAATACTGACTGGGGTCGTTATACACAGAGGGAATCTGGATCTGGTCAGGTACAAAGGGAAGACCACGTGAGGACACAGGGAGAAGGTGGCTGTCTGCAAACCAAGGAGAGAGGGTTCAGAAGAAACCAACCCTGCCGATCTTGGACTTCCAGCGTCCACAAGAGTGAGCAAATAAATTTTTGTTGTTTGACCATCCAGTCTGTGGTACTTGGTTATGGCTGCCCCAGCAAACTAATACATTCATACTAGGACCTTTACAAACAGATCAAAGAGTAGAAAGCACCAAAGCTATCCTCTGTCTCTCTTCCTCTTCCTCCCTCAGTCTTTCTAGGCATCCTGCAACCCTTTTGGATATTTCTAGTGATAAGATTTCAGGATCCACACTCAATTTCCATGCAGATCTCAAGAAAGTCACCCTCACTGAACCAGATTTGGCTTTGAATTCCACTCCTTGTACTTACGATCCAATTCTTTATTCTTCGACAAAACACCAAAATACCCATCTATAGTGCAGGTATTGTCCTAGCCGATCAGCTACTCACCTGGGGAGGGTACTCAGTTTGTCCAGGTGAGCAGCCTGGTCTCTTCATTCATTTTGTGCCCGAGATTGGCAGTAAAACTACAACTCAACCCATGCGGTCCTGGACAGAGCCGCTAGCCAAAGGGCTCTGAGCTTGGAGCAATTTCAGTGTGTGTGTGTGTGTGTATGTGTGTGTGTGTGTGTGATTGGGAGGGACTGAGCACTGTTCATTGGAGCTCAAAGGCTCACAAATGAGTTTGGGGGCCTGCGCTAAGCCAGCTGAGAAAAGGAATCATAGGCTATTCATTCTTCACTCCTTCCAGACTACAATCTTTGATGGAGGGGAAGACACTGGGCAAAGCAATAAAACCAGGTTTAAAATGCTGCCTCCAGACAAATCAAATCTATTTTTCTAGATGCTATCAAATAGAACAGGGGGAAAAGAAAAGTCAAGGTAAGAATGGAAGAGGGGGTAGGCAAGCCAGACACAAACCTCGTAAACCTCGAAGGGACTGCCCTAGCTTAAAAATCCCTTCCAGAGTCAGGGCCCCCTTGGTTGCTAAGCAACCGAGTCTGAACAAACAGGCTCCTGGGGCCTTCCCCTTCTGGTCCCCATTTCTAAAGTCAGTGACTGGGAGGAAAATGGCCTTGCACGGTGACTGCTTTGCCAGCAGGGAGCTCCTCTCTCTCGGCCGGGTACCAGGGTGGAGAAGGGGTGCCTTCACCAGACCCCTCCGCAGCCAGGCAGGCTCGACAGTCCCCCCCGGGCACCTGCGGAGGCCACACACACCACAGCCGTCTGCCTCGGTGCACTACTCAAGCAAAACCACCAGAAGATCAACTGGTTTGTTTGCACACAGAGCAGTCACACTCGAGCATATGGTACTACAGACTCAGACCCCAGGGCCTCGATAAGAATTCCAACGCCTGCGGTGCGGGTGGGTGGGTGTCGCGCAGGTAAACGTGACATCTGTTTCACACCCATCTCCACATTTTCTAAGACGTTTGCCAAGTGCTTATTTGGAGCTAAAAATGCCTAACAGTAAGGAAAACAGCCTCCCTTCTGTGTTGGCCATGTTTTGGTACTGAAACTCAGATCCCCTTAGGAAATAAATATTTTTAATTAAAAAAAAAAAAAAGTATTTTCAATGCCTCCCCACCCCCACCCCTCAACAGGGTGTAATTGGCTCCCTCTTTCCTTTCCAAAGTTTGGATATTTTCTGCCGCTACCCTCCCAACATTCGCTCCACCCTGGGGAGCGACGGGGAGGTTCTGTGTATGTTTTTTAGGGCAACCATTGTCGTAAAGAATAGAGCTCCTTCCTCCACAGTCCACTCGCACAATGGGACTCGCAGAGACCTCTTGAATAGATAAAATGTCAGGGCGAAAGAGAAATTCTATTAACACTTTACAAAATAAAACAGCTAGAGAAGAAAGAGAAAGAAAGAAAAAATCAATATGGATAAGACCCGGTGCTGGGGGGCGGTGGTGGGGAAAAACTTCTCAGCGATTGCAAAACACTTATTAATTCAGAGAAGCCATCAATGCAATGGAAATCTGGCAGAACAGCAAGAGCTGAAACTGGGAGAATTTGAATATACAAAGACTGAATAGAATGAAAAACACGGCCTCACATACGGGGCTGTTTCTCACGGTTCTGTGTGAATCCAACAGAAGCAGCTTGTGTGAGTCTGCATCATGGGCGAATGAGGAGCACAGTCAAGGTAACCCGTATTCAACCCCAGCGAGAGCAGACTGATGACTGTGTCTCTGTCTGTCCGTCCGTCCGTCTGTCTCTCTCTCACACACACACACACACGCACACACACACGAAACCCAGGTAGATCAGTTGGCTGTGAGGAGTCATCAACTGCGATGTGAACCCCAGACCTCATTTGAGGGTGCCAGGACACAGAGAGTTGGGGGCTGGACACAGGAATTTTTCTGACCTCAAGTAGAAAACACCACTAACTCTTGTTAGGTGTCTCCTCAAGACTAGCACTGGTATTTATTTTGTGTTGACAGTGCCCTTACCAGGCTTACATATTTCTTTGTACCAGAGGTGGGGGCCCATGGGCCTCGTGGTCTTGGGGCAGGGGTGTCCCTGGAGGGATTGAGAAGGAGAGGAGATATCCGAACCTCAGCATACTTTGCCTTACATCCTGGCACACGCTTGGTCTGTTTTGAGAGAAGGAGCTCGCCCCAACCTTGAGACGCACCTTTTAATAACTTAGGGCGGGTTCAAATGCCGCCTGGCATCTTGGTGGTATAACTTTGTGAACGAAAAGGCAAGGTAAAGTAGCTTTTAAATAAGATGGCTGGGGATGCCCGCCTGTTTGTCTCGGCGCCAGCAAGTCCTGACCATGTATTGCTGCCTATCTCCAGGTTCAGACCACACCATAACCTCCTCAGAAGCGTGTATCGTGCGCACAGCACATCTGAGAGTCACGAAGCTACGCCACTGGCCATGGGGGGGGTGGGCAGGGCTCCTCAGACTTCCTCCACGTCAGGACCACCTGGCTCGTTTTGACACGGGTCCCTCAGACCTCACCCCTGGAGTGTCTGATGCTGTGGCGCTTGCGTTTCCAAAGAGCTCCTGGGGGATACTTATGCAGTGGCTGGCCTGGGGCCCCCACTTTCTATGAGAAATAAGAACAAAGGTTAAACACGCTGGGCACAGCTGCTTCTTGCTCTTTGCACACGTCAGTGCTCAGTACATGGAATCAAATTTCTCCTCCAG